GCGCTCGTGTGTGTGAGACGCGGGAGCTGATGGCAGGGGGCGGGGGAGCTGATGGCAGGGGGCAGTGGATATTGTGGATGAGTTCTTCTGTGTCATCACGTTCTATTAGTTCTACAGCTTCAGTTTCGGAACTTTCATGCTTAGTAACACATACAGCTGTTCCCTCACTACAGTGTAACAGTGAAAAGGGACCCCTTTCAAACGGTGTTGCGTTCCGAACGTTGTTTAAGCGACATACACCGGTATTGCGGTATTTTAAAAATTCATATCATAACAAAAATAAACACCGGTATTCGGTATGAACCAGTATACCACCCAGCACTAAGTTCTTTATACACTTCCATTTCACTTCATTGTTTTTTTTTTATTATTAATTAATGTCATCCCATTATTTCTAAAGGTCCCCTCTACATGAATTGAGACGTTTTATGAAGTTTTCTGTTAATTCAATCATCCCTTATCAAACAAGTTCAGCCTCCAGCAGTGCAGTGTGTACGTGCATTACCTCAGTGTTGGAGTAGTACGTGTTCCAAGAGGAGCGGAGACTCTCCTGACCACCAATATCCCACATCAGAAAGTGGGTTTTCTTCACCACTATTTCCTCCACATTGCTGCCAATTGTAGGAGACGTGTGCACCACCTCATTCATTAAACTGCACAACAAAACAGGTTCAGATGAAACAAACTACACTGATGCAGTCTTTCACATTAATTACCACACTGAAACCTCCTTTACCCATCAGTACAGTGTCTCCATCTATCGTTTTACTTTGCTGTATAAATACCACACATGATATTGCATAATGAATAGATTGTAATGTTTAGTGTGTAATGTATGTTCAGGCAATTGTCTGATGTCCTAAAGCAGTAACTAGATAGGTGTGCAGGTGTGTGGCAATAAAGAGACTATTCTATTCAATTGTATGAATCAGACTCTTTACTAATTAAAATAAATAAAAATAAAAAGAGCAATAAATAGTCTAAAGAAAACAAAATATACATTACTCACAACTGATAAAGTATAGTGGTTTTCCCAGCGTTGTCCAGCCCCACAATAACCACCTTGTGTTCTACATAACAGAAATAAAAATACATATTACTGATTATGAGAATGGTCAAACCCATAATACACAATCAAACATCAAATGAAAAGCAAACAATTCTTCTCAGTAAACAAGGATAGAATATATGTGAATGCCAATAAAACGTAAAAATAACGGAATCCATTATTTACATGAAATACACAGAGACAATTTTAAGCCTCAGCTATAATGTTAACGTTGGGTCATCTCATTAGCTCGCTGTGATCTTTCATTTCATTCAGAGCTAGTTTGCTTCTGTTGGCCTCTCAGTTCTATTAACTGGAAGATAATTGGTCCAACAATCCCATAGAAATGCACAGCTCTGCCACACAAGATTCACGCTTGCATAACAGAGGAAGATGTGATTAGATAAACTAGTAGTGATCCATCCTTTATCAGAGCAATGTGACGAAATTCTGACAGCCTGTGTGTGTATGTAAGAGAGAAAAGAGCGCATTTGGATTTTTTTCCACCTTTGAACTCCAATGTGAACTACAGGAAGCAGGACTGGATAAATCATGTAATCTCTAACAGCTCCACAAAGACACAGAATATTTCACAGCTATTACTTCCTCAATGACTGACCCCTATTTTACTTCTGTATGCCTCCAGCAAAAATGTCACAGGACAAAGTGAAGCCATAAAGAGTCACGGTTTCTCAAGACTACAGTTAACGCCACCCACAGATTTGGTGGAACTTTTCAAAACAAACTAATTTAGACTGGCTCTAATTTAAGACTACTAGAGCTACTGCTCAAAGCTTTAGCTAAAGGACAAAAGCTATGCACATGATTTGCGTAATGATTTACAGGACCAATAGGTGTTAACACTATATTTAACTCATTTAATAAGTTCTTTAACTAGACTGCAGACTATTTACAATATATTGCAAGAATTTCCATTTTGTGAATGACTGCAGGAACGTTTGTGTATTAGAGAGTAACACTCAGTGTAATGAAGTGACTGGTCCTCTTCAGGACAGTAATCCAAGGAATTAGGAAAGAGAATGAGATTACAAATCCAACAGGCAGAATTCCTTCTATGTCTAGAAAAGTAGGCCAAAGAGTTATGCTACTTTCTCCTGGGAGCTCCTTTTGGACCTACTCGGCAACTAGCCCAGAGGACTGGCTAGCTCATTTGTAATGAATGCATCTAGCACTCACAAGAAAACCGTAATTCAACAACAAATAAAATGTATAACCTTGGAGGAATGCAAACAGTTTGGTGTCAGAAATGACTGAAAGTGCACGCAAGATGCAATATCAAAAATGTCCATTCCAGTGTTAAAGGATCATCTGTCCGACATTACAACAATCTGGATCTGGTTAGAAATATAATGGGAGAAAACTGCTAAAAAAAAAAAATCAAATAAAATAAATTAATAAAATAAAAAATAACCAGGAAATACCATTCTGTTGTTTGCACACTTTGTCAATGCTCAACTTCTCAATTATAGAAAAATATTCAGAAAATATGCATTCAGGTTAAAATGCAGTTAGAAGAGTAACTTTCAGACACAATCTAGTGTGCTAAAGTTAAAAACTCTGCTGTTTTCTCTGGGCACAGGCTGAACTGACTGCTGAAACTAGCAAACAATGGTGAGGAAAACAGTTTCCTCATGCTTTTGTTTGCCAGGTGGTCATGGCGTCTGTTTCTCTACACAAAAGCATTTTCAATTCAAATCAGTTTCTTTTATTGTCATTACACAAGTTGAAGCTGATATCTGGCCCCTCTGTCCTCTAGACCTACATCATGAGACATCTGTTACAGCAGCAGTGAAGACATACAGACATATGTTATAGAACAAACCCTATGAGTACAAATCAGATCCGAACAAATTAAACAAGAACACATGTAAGAGCTAGGAGCTGGAGAATAGTTGGAGTTTTATCATAGGCTAGTTGTAGGTAGCAAAATTCACGTTAGGGCAAGACACAACAGGCAAAACCATCGTTTTTTCATACACTGGTCAATTTTCAGATGTTGGGCTATTTTGCTATAATAATAATAATTTTAAAATTATTATTTTAGAAAACATGTAATATAAAAAAAATCTTAATGTATGAATCAAATGATGAATCAAGTGGCGTTAGTATGGTAATGTTTGTTAGTTAACTTTTTATTTTTAACTCTATTCACCTGTGGTGTCTTGTCTTAAAACCTAGTTAGCTGCCAAACATAACAGTATTTTGAGCATCATAGTGGCATGGTATTCAGTATTCATTCAGTGCCATGGTACTTATCAAAGTAACGTTACCTGATAGCATCACAGCTGTACTTTTGGAGAAAAAATTGATAGGATCTGAGCTAGACTTTTTTTTTTTTTTTTAAGCCTTTGTCTTTGCTTGGTTCCTACAGTCTGGATCTGAGCTTAGACTTTTTTTTTTTTTTTGAAGCCTTTGTCTTAGCTTGGTTACTACCTACAGTCTTCAGAAAGCACTTAATTCAAGAAGTGGACGATACTCAGTTTGCAGATCATTTAGAAGACATTTTAAATGACTCATCTGCAGAGGCGGACAAAGTACTCAACTCCATTACTTGAGAGAAAGTACAGATACCGCTGGTCTAATATTACTCCATTACAAGTAAAAGTTGTAAGGAAAGAAATCACCCACTGACTTTCAAAGCTGCTAACGACTTTCTAATTCGAGGACCTTGACAGAAATGTAGTGGAGTGAAAAGTACAAAATTTGTCTTTCAAATATAGTGAAGTTAAAGTCGTAAGTTCCCAGAAAAAATAATACTCAAGTACAGTACAGATACTCGAAAAGTGTACTTAAGTACAATACTCAAGTAAATGTACTTAGTTACTGTCCGCCTCTGCTCATCTGTTACCTTTACCACTAACAGATCATCTGATGTGTTAGATCTAGCGGGAGAAGGTTACGGACCAGCTAACCGACTAACAAACCGTTACAATTACGAGGTGAAAACACGATCTGCTCTGGTTTTAGACTGTGGTTCTCATAGGTTAACATTAGCTCGACGCAGCGGATTTAAACGAGCTCAGCATCTACGTTAGCTCAGCTCCGCTGGATATCAGCCCGAGGCGGACAACAGTCAAAAACACTCACTACCAAACAGCCAGAACACAAGCTCTTACCTTGATTACAAAAGAAACTCCATAGTTTGGCGAAAATTAGACCCATTTCTCCTGGTGGGTGAGAGACCGTGTCCAGTGAGGCTGAGTTCAGCGGAGAGGCCTACAGCAGCTGTCCGTGAAGCCGTTATTTCTTCATAAACCCCATGCGGCTACGGTAACACAGCACATGCCTCCGTCTGTCCGTGTGTGTGTCCACGGTGTGTTCACGCACAGGTAAGCAGCTCCCGAGCACCTCTTCTTCTTTCGTGTGGTCAGATCAAGTGTGCGACAGATGCGAGCGCGGCGGATACATCTCTCTCCAAACACAAGCCTCTTTACTTCCCAGATCGCTCTGACCTCATCCACATTTTCCTCATGGACAAAAAACACACATCCGCTCCCTTTGTCTGGCTACACGCGTGTAAATGCTCGGGAAGAGCTCAAGGGAGTAAACTTCAGGCACACAGAGCTCGCAGCGGCGCGCGTGTTGCTCCTGGATAAATAACAAGAGCTCGCTCTCTCTTGTGGTCACACACACACACACACACACACACACACACACACACACCCCATCCCCCATCAGTGGCAGGGTACACGTGTGAGGATCATGGCGTGATATATCCAGTCCACAAGTGTTAAATCCATACAACGTGTTAGAAAGTTTATATTTAAAAAAATAAATCTTAAAATTCAGTGTTGAACTCTGAATGTATTGAATACCAGAAAACGTTTGAAAACACACAATAATTACAAGTTTCTATTCAAATTGACATGGAGAGATCCTAAGCTAGATAGAAACGGTCCAGAAATCACACACGGATGACAATATGGTAGAGACCATTGTATTTGGGGGGAGCTGGTTACTCATAATTTGAACCACAGCTTCCTTCCTGAAACACTGACTAAGTTCAGAATGGCCTACTGCCATACTTGTATGCAAACTAGGGGTGTGCAATATTGACAAAAAATTATATCTCGATATTTTCTGGGATTTTATCGATAACGATAATTAGACGATATTTTGCTGAGTGTGTTATTGTGCTGGTACCTTAAGGACTGCCGAAGACAGCTGACTCCTAATGTTTTTAATATTCTTCATATTTTGTGTGGTGGTCAGTTCATACTGATAGAAATTAATCTTTTCCAATAAGTTTAAACTGATTTTTGTATTTTATGGGCATTTTTACCTTTATAAAGCCATTTTTTCTTAAAGTGTCCTTTATCTTTCTATCTTTTCAAATTCTTACATTTAATCAGGGAATTAGAATAATAAGACAGCAATTACTTTTTCACGTAGTGCCAGGCAGGTTTGGACAGCTTTTTTCCCTTAATAAACGAAATCATTATTTCAAAATTGCATGTTGTATTTACTCTGGTTATCTTTGTGTAATATTAAAATTTGTTTGATGATCTGAATCATTCAAGTGTGAAAAAAAAGAAAAAAAAAAAAAAAAAACAGGAAGGAGGCAAAAACCTTTTCACAGCACTGTATATCGCACACCCCTAATGCAAACTATGTTTGCAATACACAGCATATACAGTACATACGATTTTAATCTAATATGTTAATGTTATGAAATTCTGGCAAATAAAAATCAATTCTTTAAGAATTTGAGCTTTGTATTTAATAAATTACAAAGGCAAACTCTCTCACTCAGCTTTTCACTAACTTCCACTCGGCTCTTCACTGTGTTCATTCCATTTACTGACATTTAGCCAGTCACCAGAATCACAGGCGATCTTGAAGATAAATGGAGAAACCTGCAGAATTTATTTATTTTTTAAAATATTTTCTTTGCAAAGAAAAGGGCAGATTGTGTGAAACATCCTGTACCATTTTGTCACATTCTTGAAGAATGTAGACAAATATCACACTTAATGTGAGAATGCAGTGCTGAAATATCAAAAATCCTCAACACATCTTTTATTCGTCCAGGTACAGTTCACTAATATAGTATATTACTAAATAGAAAAATATCCCAAATAGAAATGACTTTCAGACAATTTTTATGATTTTTTTTTTCAATACAGAAATTTTGAGACTAGCAAAAATTTAACAGACTTAGTGGTTAACAATTTTCTATATTATTCACTCAATGGAGTCCATTCACTTAATCACTGATAAACTATTGTTTGTAAATTAATTTCAAAGTAGCAGGAGTCAGAGCTCTGACAATGATGTATCCACATTTATGCACTGCCAAGTTGTTTACTGGCACGACTTTTTAAAAGTCAAAGCATAAGCATAAAACACTTCATTAACAATGGTGACCGTGTTTTTCCAAAATTTATCGATTGTGTACAGGAGGTATGTTAAAACTATATAAGCTCAAACGCGTATCTATCTATCTATCTATCTATCTATCCATCTATCTATCTATCTGCTTTGATGTTGATGCTATTTCAATCTCATACGCTAGGTGGCGCATAAGGAACCATTTCAGTTGAGAAAGTTTGTTCTGTGTGGAGTGAAAGCTAAAAAAAAAATAGTAGTAAGCAGAGTTGCCAAGTCCGCGTATTATACGCGACTTTGGGCTTCTTATTTTGTAAAGTTGCGTGAAAAAATCCCGGGTCGCGGGTTGCGGTTTTTTGGTCTTATTTAAAAAAAATATGGTTACTTGTTAGGAGAACCTGACAAGCAACTTCGTTTCTTTTCATTTATGTTCACTATATTCTCCAATGCATTGATTGACACTCTGTTTGCTCACAGTTAATAGCCAATCAGTGCAAAAATATAAGTGCTGTAGCATAATTTGTCAAATATTCCGCCCAGTCCGCACGCGCCTTCTTTTTGAACGTGATTTTTCTTCAATGAGGGATTGAAGAAAAATCACGTTGAAAAAGAAGGCGCGTGACGCTGTAATCCAAGCGATGATAGTAGTAAACGTAGAGGAGTGGGATGACTTTTTTCCTTTATAAGGCAGTCTAATTTTTTATTTTTACAATGTTTTGTAATGTATAAATTATCACGGGCTGTAAAAAACAAAACAAAAAACAAGTAGGCCTATACAAATACTAAAAGTAGATTTGGTTCGAATAGCCAATATTTTAGTAGGCTATAAATATGTGGCTATGTTACAGCTCCCCTTTGAAGCTCTTGTGTTTTTCTCCTTTTCCATCTGTCCAATCCTATTCTGCTCAAAGGTGATTGGAGATGAGTTTTGTTCCTGCTTTGTTGCAGTTTGCTGATTTTTGTCACATAACTTATGTTTTTGCTTATTTGTCTCGCGAGAGTTGGCAACAGTGGTAGTAAGCACAATAATTAATAATACTATTCTTAATAATGAACTGTGTTCTATAGAGTTTATAGGTAGTACCGGCAAATCATGACATAATCGAAGTAATTAATTTTTCATTATTTTCACTTGAGTTTAATGGTAGTTTTAAAGCAACACACGAGGTATTAATACATATTCCAGCTCCTCAATTTGGACAATATGAACAACTCTGGACTTTCACCATCACCAGTATCTTTCGTAATGGTATTTTCACAAACTCCATCAAGGCGTCGACCCCATGCTGTCTCTTTATAAAGCCATGAGATGGCAGTGATGAGAAAGACATAAAACCAAATTCATCGTCCAGTCGGCTTCAACCTGATTTCCCTCAGCAACGACCTTCTTATTCTGGGTCTGCGAAATAATGACCGTATTTGAGCTCTTTTCTTTTGATAAGTGGTTATTGAAAACGCTTGCCAATTGCTACTGTTGTGTTGCTTAGTTCTGCATTATCAGCTATAGCCTTCTGCTATGGAAGACTGTTTGTATAACTATCCCTAAACCAAGTGACACTTTTCAAGGATAGACGTGACATGCGAAGGATCATCTTTTTTAAAACATGTTTTTGATGCTATAGGTGGTAAAGCGAGCTGGTTTGTAATCTGAGAAGCGTTCCCTGCAGAATGAGCATTATTTTGTCCATTACAGGTTTCTACATTAGACCGCTCTGACTGCCAATCCATTAAGACATTTACAGCTTAACTGCACAATCTCTGCAGACCATGGCAACGGTCACCCAGGCTGCATTTTCCACTATTTTTGTTTCATCCAGTTGCTACAGCTCTCTTCTGTGGAGGACAGAGGTAGCCTCGTCAGTCCATTTCATAACATTGCTATGAGGTTATGATTGTGCTTCAGGTAATAGTCAGTGATTCAGAGTATATTCTGTATGTGTAAATAACGAAAATAAATGGTCAAAAGCAAATGCTTCATTGGAGCAGAATGAATCTGAGAGCTTCATGATCCATCATCACTATGCTTAAAAGTCACCACCAATCAAATGCTGACTGTAGATTGATGCTTGACAGCCAGGGAATTAGGTGTAATTTTTTCTGCACCTGTTGAGAAATCCTTTTTAAAAAATGAATAAGGTTAAGACAGCTGGTGGACAAACGTAATAGCTTTTTCTGTACTTGCAGACTGTGGGCCATTAAACGGCATACTCAAATTAGAGACCAAGAAGGTGCTGACTCTTAACACAGAAAAAGAGCAGAGTGGATGTTTTTTCTTTTTCTTTTGAAAGGCCAGTCGGTATGATTTTAAAAGCACTGACTGTAAAATGAGTATGAATACCAGAGTAAGTGGGGATGGAATGTTAAAAGAGATTCAGTGATGCTTTATATCAGGATGTCCATCCATACTAATTACTTTGTATATACATTACACATACATTGCTGATAGATTTATCTACACTATAAAAAAAAAACTATACTTTATGTATAATTATAAGCGAATACCCAAAATAAATACATATTAACTAGCTCTGCACTCTTAAAAATAAAGGTTCTTTATTTTTATAATTGGTTCCATGAAGAACATTAAGCATCCATGGAACCTTTCCATTCCACAAAATATTTTTCAAAGTGGAAAATGTTCTTCACATTAAGACTGTTCACTGAAAGGTTCTTTGGGCAACCAAAATGGCTCCTCTGTGGCAGCACTTTATTTTAAGAGTGTGGTAAAGCTACTTTGAAACTGTAGCCTGCCAAGCTAAAATATCTATTGTGTATGTATATGTATAGTATGTATGTATTTTAATATGTATGTGTATTATTTCGGGAAGTTGCTTATAATTAAATTATTGTTGTTGATATTATAGTGTCCAGTATGAAATGGGCTGTGATCATTGGAGAAATAGATCGTTACTGGTACTGGTACTTCACTAAATGCTAGACTAATTGACTAAAAATATGCAACTTATGCTACTAGCTGAACTATTATCATGCTACTTTAAAAATATTTTATTTATGATATTAAGTAGTAGTTATAAGTATTTAAGAATGTAATTACTCACTACTGTAAAATGTGAATTTTGGATTATTATGGCTTGATGGCTTTAACTGTCTGAGACTAATCATACATTATTCAGTAATTGATGACTCAAGAGTCACTTGTCTTGTCCTCTAATTAGGCCACAAAGGCACCTGTTGCATGTGCTGCAGGATCATTCTAAGCACACTTGCTTTCATGTTGAACTTATGCCTATTCATAAGCACGCAGCAACAAAACTGCTATAGTGTGACTGTAGATGTAAACTTCAACCAAGCCTTTAATGGTCATGAGGGTAAAGCATGTACAAAGAGAATTAAACACAATGGAGAGCAAAACCTCTTAGAGGAGGAAGATAAAGGACTGGCTGCAAGAGAAAAAAAGTAGGAGAGTAGAGAATTAGGGTGCAAT